GGCTTCCATCCTGCTGGGAATGAGGTATGTATAACTGCACTTCCATTTCATTTGATCATATTCTTCCACTTTCTTGATCAATTCTGTTCTGATTAGTGTAATTATCCAACAGGTGATTATAAACTCCGAAGTCTGGGATCTCCGGAAATTTAGACTCCTTAGAAGTGTACCTTCGTTAGACCAAACAACAATAACTTTCAATGCTCGTGGTGATGTAATTTATGCAATCCTCAGAAGAAATCTTGACGATGTAATGTCAGCAGTTCACACCCGACGCGTAAAGCATCCACTCTTTGCCGCTTTCCGCACAGTGGACGCAGTTAACTACTCTGACATTGCCACTATTCCGGTTGATCGTTGTGTCCTCGACTTTGCAACAGAACCTACTGATTCGTTTGTTGGGTTGATCACAATGGACGACCAAGATGACATGTTAGCCTCTGCTAGAGTTTATGAAATTGGTCGACGAAGGCCGACCGACGATGATTCCGATCCCGATGATGCTGAGAGTGAAGAAGAAGATGAGGATTCCGAAGACGATGACGATGGGGACGTGGACCCCATACTGGGCCCGGATCTGGATGGGGATGATAGTGATATGGATGATATGAGCAATGGCGATGATGATGATAGCGTGAGACGATGATGACGACGACGACGGAGATTTCATCGTGGATGACCTTGAGGCAGGAGGTGGAATGCTGGAGATTGTGACGGACGGAGAGGAGGATGACGACGACGACAGTGATGGGATGGAATCCTATAGCAGTGGGGATGAAGATTATATGAGCAATGGTTTTGGTGTTTAACTGTAACATAATTATCGTTTAAGTTGGTGTTAAAGACGAGTAGTATGTTTTTTACCAGATATCGTAGTGGTATTAATTTATCTTTGGGTTTCCTTTCCTTCCAGTGTTTTACTGTCCTCCAGTAAAACGACAGGAGTTGAAGAATGTATGGTGTCGTATATCTAAGGGTTGACCCTAAGTGGATCATGAGGGAGGGAAAGGGATCTTCTCCGGATCATTTCTTCCTAATCTACCAAGTCTGGGAATCCGGACCGTAGAAATTTGATCAAACGGTTATAGTTATTATAACTTTTAAAGTGAGCGTATGTTTGTAATCATTTGATCAAATTTAAATGGTCTGAATCTTCGAACTTAGTAGATTAGGAGAAAGGAATCCGGAGAGAATCATTTTCCACGAAGGAGCATACAAATTTGGCGGATGTCGTCATGCTGTCTTTGCGGGTGTCGTCATACTTTTCGTCAAACACATTGTAACCTGCAATTTTAACACGGAGGGATCACCTGAAAGCATCAATATATGTTGCTATCGTCTTCACATCAATTGCACACGCCCGTGCACGTCAAGTCAATAACTCCGGAATATGGATACTTGTGCGTGCACGTCAAGTCAATAACTCCCGAACATGAATACGTTACAACAAGAATAAAAACAAAGCCTTAGTTGTGTCAATTTTTTTTGTTAGTTTCAAGTAAGGTATTAAATATCGGTAATATCGGAAATATCGATAGTCCGAAAACACAGAAATATCGACGGAAATATCGGTAAAATATCAATATCGATAAAAATTACATGGAAACCACGGAAATTGTAAGAAAAACTTGGAATTTTTTATTGAAACTTTGCAGGATGTTTATTTAGTCAATTATCTATTAGTTTATCACAAAAAATTGGAAGGAAATGCATTGCATGATGGATTTAACATTATCAAGTTGATTATATAGCGAGCTGGCAAACATTGTGAGTGTAGAAAATATGTAGTAATTAATGAAAGAAGTTTAAACACACCATAATCATTTATATATAATGAATTAGTACAATATTTTACACTTTATACATTGCATGGTAAAATACATAAGTGACTTAGTACCACATAGAGTTCCTATGAGGTTCAAAATTTTAACTATCTTTATCATCTCTATGTGTATTTTAGCATATTTTCACAAAAACATAAGTGATATGGTGGTCAAGGTGTTGAAGGAGTAAAATGGGAGGGGCTTGAATCCCTTTTTAAATATAGAAATTTATCCTAAAATTTAAAAAAATCTATTTTTTATTATTTTTTGTCCCTTACCTTCTCGAACCCACAAATACACCCTTTTTCCATCTCCCTCCTACAGTCCTACCATTAACTCCTCCTCCAGAACCTTTTAGAAACAACAAAATCGAAATCATCACCCTCTTCTCTCTCGTCTCTCCCTCTCTCTGAGCTGCTGCTTCCGGTACTGCCTGCTGCAGCAAGACCAGCAGCAGACGAGATCGATCGAGTTGGCTTTCGTCTCCAATCCAACTTTTCTGTTTGGTTGGTGGGAGATCTCGTCTGCTTTCATGTCCAATCCAACTTTTCTGTTTGGTTGGTGGGAAAATCCCTACTCTCTGTTCATCCCCAAACCCTTAAATCCACGCTTTCCAGGTAATACACGCCGGCTCCTTGATTTAATTCCATTTTTTATATTGAATTTTCCATTTCCAATACCTAGAAATCTAATTACACAAAAAATAATAGGAAGTAAAATTTCATATCTCTAGAAATTTTTGTTTTCTAATCCTCCGCGGTTTCTCGGCAACCAAACGGAGCGTTAAATCATTTTAATTAAATAAAATAACGTTTTTTATTTATTTATTTGTTGAACGGATTTTTGGTATATCAGTTGCTATTAGAGCTCAGATCCGAGAAGCCAAAGGCCAAAAAACCATGTCCTCATTGCCGGCCGAGCAGAACGGCGACTCGGCGCCTACTGGAAGCAGTGGAGGCGGAGGAGATTCGCAAAGATCGCTTCCGACGCCGTTTTTGACCAAAACGTATCAGCTCTATCCGTCGATATCGCGATATTTTTACGAAAACCAATCGGATATGTGTAGAAATATCGGACTCCAAAAAAAAAGATAATATGGGCGAAATATCGCCGATATTATCGATTTTTTATACCATGGTTTCAAGTACTCTGTTTTTTCTTAAGAGTTTTTTTTTTTTTTGTTCAAGTCTTTCTAGATCTTACTCCACAAATTTCCCTCAATCTTTGTCTCATAATTCTAACCAAAGTATGTGTATGTCTTCGGCTCAAATATTCAAATCACCTAACTGGTTTTCTCTCATCTTACCTTCAATTGAGCAGCTCCTAGTTTACTTCGGATATCTTCGTTTTTAATTTTGTCCTTTCTCGTCAGCCCAAACATCCAATGGGGTATTCTCATATCCGCTACCCTCATTTTTTGCATGTGACCTCCCCAACCTTTTATGCCATAAGGCATTGATGGCCTTATTGTCATTCTAGAAAATTTCTCCTTCAACTCTAATGGCATACATTGGTCGCACAAAACACCCAATGCACTCTTCTACTTCATCTATCCAACTTATATAGTATATCTATGGTTGAGATCAAGGTATTAAATATCAGTAATATCGAAAATATCGATAGTCTAGAAACATGGAAATATCGATGGAAATATCGGGATATTATCGATATCGATAAAAATAATATGGAAACCACGGAAATTGTAAGAAAAACTTGGAAATTTTTATTGAAACTTTGCAGGATGTTTATTTAGTCAATTATCTATTAGTTTATCACAAAAAATTGAAAGAAAATGCATTGCATGATGGATTTAACTAATTTAAGTTGATTATATAGCGAGCTGGCAAACATTGTGAGTGTAAAAAATATGTAGTAATTAATGAAAGAAGTTTAAACACAGTCACATACTATCAAAAATTGTACATGTAAAAGCTGTAAAAGTTGAATTATTTAGATGCTTTTTTTTCTTACACGCCACCCACACACACACACACAGACTCTCACACGCCAGCACACACAGATCACACACGCATACACACATCACACGCAGACAGAGATTGAGGTCTCTCTCTCTCTCGATCCTTCTCTCTTCTCTCTCGATCCTTCTCTCTTCTCTCCGACAGAGACTGAGGTCTCTCACTCTCTCGATCCTTCTCTCTTCTCTCCCTTCTCCATTCTCCCACACACACACACACAGATCTCTCGATCTCTCTTCTCCCTTCTCCCACACACACGCACAGAGACATCGCCCTTCGTCATCGTCATAGTCTCCCACACACATGCACAGAGACCTCACCCCTCGTCATCGTCTCCACCGCAAATCTAGGTCTTTGAACGTCAAAGATTCGAGCGCACCTCAGATCCAGGCAATCTGATTCTGACGCTGTAGTCGTCGCCGCCGCCACCAACTTCCTAAGCCAAGAATGGAGAACCTGATCTCGTTGGTGAACAAAATCCAGAGAGCTTGTGCTGCTCTAGGGGACTATGGCGAAGGTAGCGCATTCGTCGTCGCCGTCGTTGCCATCGCCGTCGATGGTCAGGTCAACTCTCAGTCCCTCACCTTCTTACCTCTTCGATTGATTCATGCATATGAATTGTGGTTGTGTTTTCAATTGCTCTATAGCTTAGATCTTGATCTTAATCGTGTTTTTGCAAGGTTTTTGGGACGAAATTGGCTTAGCAATCGTCACACCCATTTCCAGCGTTCTTCTCCGAGTAGCCCAATTCCAAAAATATCGCGATAATTTCAAAAATATTGCGATATTATCGATAATATCATGATATTTTGACGAAAGCCCTTTAGATACCTATTAAAATATCGGTCCAGCGAAAAACCGATAATATCGGCAATATATCGCCGATATTATCTGCATTTTGTTCCTTGGTTGAATTACCATCCAATTTTCCGTTCTTTTGAAAGACAAATCCAAGAGAAAGCACTCACTCTTTGATACTTCTTGATCTTCAATCCTCACCCCTATCTCATTTGCACCCCATTCACACTGAACTTGCATTCCATATATTGTGCCTTTGACCGACTTGGGTGAAGACGTTTAGATTCCAACACTTCTGTTGTATTGATATCAATACAATAGTCTTAAAAGAATGGACGTCCGCTTATAAGAGAACTAATACTGCTGCATAACTTGAGTAAACATAAAATGTGCATAAATCTAGAAAATAGCATCACATCTCTTGATATCATTATGATCATCTGGCATAAATTAAGTTGATTGACAAGGATGCAGACTTAAATAGCATTCGAACAGATTTTGTGATAAATCTGAACAAAGGAATTAGCAGAAACTACATCATCCTACTGCATTTACAAACATGAGATTCCCAAAAAGATTTCCTCCCTAATACCAAAATTGAGGAAAATCACCTTAAACTGTACTGATTTGCATATTATGTTTTGCTTCAGAATACTTCTTTTAGCTTTCACTGACCTATTCCGGAACAGTAACCGGTGATTCTTCATGCAATTCTTCATGCACTGCTCTTTCACTGCATTTGTGTTCCGAGTTTTCATCATCGGAGTCTGGTATTACAACAGAATCAAGAGCAGAGTTACAGATAGGTCTCTGTCTGGACCTATTCTTTGTAACCAAGTTTCTGTTGTCCATGACCAGATGGCTACTGTCTCCTGCTAGTCTTGAACTCCAGCGCACGCCCACTGGCTTTTGGGCAATACCATCAGTCTGAGCACAGGTCTTGTCCGTCTCAGAATTTCCAGAGTCACTCTGGTCACTGTTGTCTTCATCCTTCATGCCACTACGATCACCCCAATTTTTATCATCGTCATCAGTAGAAAATTCTTCAAGCATGTCGCTTGCAGTGTCACTACCTGCAGATTCATCCTTCTTGCCAGAATCATTGTTGTCGCCATTAATATAATCACCTTTTTTGTCCGAACCATCTTCTGAGTTTCCCTCTGAGGCACCATTTCTTCTTCTACGCTTGTTTTCTTGCATTTTCTCTTCACTAGTTTTCTTACTGAACCACAAGTAGAGTTGACAGTCGTTAGAGATAAGCGATATAATGTGGAAACAAACTAGTAGATTCAGTTACACGCAGGAACCCCAATAAAGTGTAAAGATTCAATAAAAAGTTGAGTGGCAAATGGACAAGAAAGAACATTCTGAAAGGTGTTGCATAACTCCAGAACTGTAACATCCTTTCAGTAGTAACCTTCATATGCTGATGAAAACATTTTTCAAGAAAGCAAGCATGGCACTTACTTTGCTTTTATAGCATCATGAATGGCCCGATCGTACTCATCTGCATGTTATTTAAAATAAAATCTCTATTAGATTGTAATGATAAAAAATCCGAACACAAGGAAGTATAGGGTCGTACCATCATTCATCTGGAATAAACTCATAACCATGGATGACAACATAATTAAATCAAAATATCAGTTCACAAGTTCAAAGCATACCCTGAAAATTCTCTAATTCTCAGACATAGTATTAACAACAATCAGTTAGAGTATAACAGTGACCCAGTTACAGAACGACCGACTTTAAATGTATAAGGTTATCAAAATTCAACCACGATCTGTTTCGCATGCTGGGGAGAGGCTAAACCAAATAAATTTGCATCATACCAAATGTGTAGCTGACAGCCCTACGGGTGCGAGTGGTACGAATGGTTCCAGCAGCATAAGAATTTCTCGAATCATTCAGTTGCCTTTCTAGCCTTTGTTTCTTTCTTAGTTCCTTTTCTTTCTTCTGCATAACACAATCGTTTTTGGTATCAATAACAAACGACTGTGTAAGCATAAGCTATCAAATAAGGTTCACTGCTAATGATGGCACCCCAAGTCTTAAAATTAACAGCCAAAAAAGGATTGCAAAAATTAACCTGCTGAAGTTTCTCAAGAGCAGGAATAACATCGGATTCAATAGTCCTAGCAATAGCAACTTTGGCGGCAACTTTGCTTGATGAGAATTCATCCTACAATTACAGCAGAGGAAGAATTTTATTTATGGAAACAAAATGTTATCAAAAGTACTCATATAACGAATGAGAATACTTAGTTAATAAGAGTTCCACCAACAATTTAATATGGATTCTAATCTTGGAATATATAAGAATTTTGCTTACAAGAACTTTACGAAATTCCTTGAGATTGGTTGCCAGTGTCTCCCACTGAAAACTAATACTTGGCAGGTTTCCTTTTCCCCTAGCTTTTGCCTTCGACTCAAGGACAATTACTTCCTTGTATAACCTATGGCCAACAGTTGCATTTCCTTCATACCTGTCATGAATGTAGTAACTAGTATTACAGCCAATCGTTCATTGAAGACATAAGTTCATAGCATATCAATAGATTACCAATAGGTAGTTCCTTTTCGATCTCCTCCCATCTTATCTTTGCGGAAGAAAGAAACCTCAGTTCCTTGTTTCAGATTAACATTAATATAAGCCAATACATCATCTTGCTGGGAACAAAAGGAATTTATATCAACAAGCAGAAACAACACAATTGTAAAAGTAAACTTAGGTGATCAAATGGTTAAAAAGCATGTTAAACTACCTACACATAAAAAATAAGGAGTACATAAAAAATAAGGACTTATTACTTTAGCTCGGAGTTCACAGAGTGCTTTTAAGAGTAGTAAATGTTTTGTTGGATCAAGTTCCTTGTAATGGGATATCTCCTCTCTGCACAAACAGCACAATGGTAAAGATGGTAGTCTATTTAAAAAATGAAATCAGATCATTAAATACAGAGAAACAAACTCGTTGTCAATACCCTTTAGCTGCCAGTAGCGGAATTTCCCCTTCAGCAATCTGCAATGAAGAGAAAATATATCCCTGTAGGTTATACACACTAAATAACAAAAGGGTGTAAAAGCAGTAAAACTACCAAAGTTTAGAACAACTCACCCATTGCCACCAAGGAGCAAGTTTCTTACAAAGCACAGTCACCCACGCATCTTCCAAGCCATCCAATGTTTTACTTACAGGTGGTATTCCCTGGCAAAAAACAGGTCGTCGAAGTAGTGAGAAGAAGATGATCACATTGGAAAAGGAGAGAAAATAAACAGAGTGATATAGTTTACATATGCATGGATTTCAGATGCTGAAAACAAATCAAGTTGTTTCCTTTTATGACTTCTGAAATCGACGTGTTCCTACCAGTTTGCAAAGACCATTATGTTTGTTTCTTAATAAAAAAATCTCCACAAGTAATAAAAACCCGACTTCAAATATGTCTTCCCCCAACCCGACTATTCGTTCAACAGTCATACTCTAAACAGAGAAAGAATCACCTAAGATATTTAAATTGGGTAAACAAAATCAGCCACAAACCCTTGAAAGAAATAATATGGCGCCGTTCAACTTAGAATTTAACTTAAGCTTTGAAACAGCACTACTAAACAGAAACCATGCAGGTGCAGCAATATATAATTTAGGAATCAAATCGTATAATTACCATAAGTATATCACATTGAACCAACCCATGACCTAGTGCAATCCATCGATGGTGCAATTCTATCGAATCCAGAAACATTTTTGAACAAAAATTCGATAGTAAGAAAATCAAAATAAACCACTAGATGCAATTTCTCGCCCTAAAACAAACAAATATAGAAGATAAAAAGATCAAACACCTTCAACAGAGCAATGTGAAGCTGAGCAAGTGAGTTCGGGTTTATCAAACCCATCTCGATTTCTTCAGCCGATAATCTAGCAGCCTTCCCAATCACTGGCTCAAAAACCTACCAAAAAACAACAATAATATTACTAAAAATAAAAATAAAACAAAATTAAATCCCAAAAAAATTAAAATACAAAACCAAACCAACAAAATAGGATCTTACGATCAAGAAGTTGAGGACGGAGGCCAGTTCCCATCGTCCGCGAAGCCTCGCGACCGTGGCTTTCAGAGGATCTTCGTCCTCCTCTTCGTCCAAAACCACGACTTGTTCGTCTTTCTTCGGCGATCGGGTTTCTCCTTCGACGACGTCGTTCGCCGCCCGTCTCCGGCGACCCCCGGCCATACCTGACGGACGAAGACACGTTGAGAGAGAGAGAGAGGGGATAGTGAGGAAACGGAGCGAGAGAGGTAGGAGAAGAGGGAGAGGTGCGGTGTGGGCAGTGAATGTTTTTGGGGTGAAATGTTGTGTATTTCAAGGGTTTTCCCGCCTAAATTTTTACCAGATGTTACCTTTCTAGGGTTAATTTACAGGGCCTATATTGCACCCAACTTCAAATTAAGGATTTTTTGACAAACGTGCCAGTGGGTTAAATAGTGATTTTTTTTTTTTTTTTTTAACGAACAATATTATTTACGAACAGAGAGTGCCCATCCTACTTGGCCACCACATTATGATTTCCTGTTTAATCCTGTATTTTTTTTTCATCCATAATTTGATCGGAATCTTCCTTCACTTGGCATGTGTTTTGTTTTGAACCATAATCTTAAAAAATAAACTGTTTTTATTACGGGATGATGGGTGGAGTGCGTGTCTATTAATTTATTATGAGATGAGCGAGGGTGCATATTTTCCTATTAATTTAAAACGTTTTTCGTCCATTTAGTTTGGATAAATTTTTATCAAATTTGGTCCTTCTAGTTTTCCCATCCAAATTTGACAAGAAATCATCAAAGTTCCTCAAATTAAAACATATTGGAAACCACGTGGACTAGGTTTGATGAAATTGAAACTGGACGAGCGAGCGAAAGTAAAATTTTATGTCACATGCACTTAAAATGTCTTAGTTCTTGCCACTTAGTACTATAGTGATATTCTTCTTTACTTGTAAATGACAGATCTCATATTTGATTCTTGTGAAAGACAAATTTGAACCATATTATTCCTAGGTCATTGTGCGGCTAAGCTCATCTCATTTTCTTAATGTAGATAATAACACTTATTAAAAAAAAAAAGGTCTTGAGCCTTTATTTTATAAAATAACAGTTCTCACTACACTTCGTAAAACAAGTCTAGTAGTCTACAATGCATCCAAGGCGCAAAATTAGCCTTATATTTTCAGCTATTCATTTATATATAGAAGGTTAGTCGGTTTTTTTCTCCAACTTTATAATTTGTTAAAATTTTGTATTTTTAATTTTTTTTTCCTAATAACTTTTTAATTAGCTTTTGTATAATCTATCTTGTTTTATTTTTACGAACATTTTAATGTAAAAAATGTTAAGTCTGATAAAAAAAATTGTTGAAATATTTTACAAATGGATGGGTATTTATAAAGTTTGGATGAGTTTTGGTGTTAGATTTGATTGATTAATAATATTATTTTGACCATTACGTGTAAATTTGAGTTGTTGGATCCTTCTTTTTTTACCGTTAAATTGATTAAATTAGATTTGAGCCATTAAATTTAAAAAATAACCGTTGAAAAAAAAAATATCAAAACTGACCATTGTATTGCAACGTTAAAAAAATCTGGGCTATATAATAAAATCCCGTTGGAAAGCAATGTAGTTGAGCGCGGGATCATAAATTAGTAGCGCTAGCGCGTGCTAGCTGCATGCTGTGCGCTAGCCCGCACCCGTTGCTTCGGACACGGAACTCGCCCTTCTCTGCTTTCACGTGCTGTTGCTGCAAGTTGAGGCCCTCGACCCACTTACTTTCCTCATCCATCCGACGATGTTGCAAACCCAAGTACCGACTTCAGCGTAAAATTTCATTTTTCGCACCCGAAATACATCCCTTGAAGATGACATAGGCCCAAAATTCGGGTTTCTGTTGTTTTCAACCCGTTAGAGGCATCCTAAGCTTTGTAACCAGACAACAGTGTAATATTTAGACAAAAGTTGCACAATGAACTGTGAAACGTATCGGATCGCTAAATTAAGACATGGCCAAATCCTAAACAACCAAAGAACGTGCTAAAACACCTACAAGCCTAAATGAGTTTTACATCCTCCTTTTGAAGCATCGCAACCATTAAACCAACTATATTTGATCTTGAAGAAAATGTTGTTGGAAATTTGAATAGTTTGAGTAGAAATTTCTTTGTCCCACATTGACCATTCCCAAAAGATTTTATCACTTTATAAAGTTTTGTCCTTTATAGAAAGTGATTAAAGTAATAGGCCTGGAAAATAAAATTAATTATAATTATAATTAATTACTAATTAATAATTATAATTAATATAATTAATTAATTAATCAAAAGATGGACCTTGAGCCTTGGGGCTCGGGCTCTAATAATTAAATTATGTAATTAATTATTTTCGGATTTAATTAATTATTTTTAATTGATTTCGAATTTAATTAATTATTTATTACCAACAGACTCATCCTTTCAGATGAAGTCTGAAGAGTTCAGAAAGAACATAGAGCAAAGCACCTCTCTAGAGAAGATGTCTCCCAATAGACACATCTCATTCTCATACCTGTTGCGAACATGCATCCTTCTATTATATATACATCCATCTGCATGGTATTTAGAACACAAAAAATCAATATTCTTTTTCTACAATCACAAACATTCTTTCTCAAAGATCCACACAGAAATTCGTCAAAAGTTAAGTTTTCCAGTGCTGTAATTCTAACTTGATCGTTGAATCCTGGTAAAGCAGACGTCTGTAAAACTATAAGCACTGAGTAGGGATGAAATTTCTGTTTCAAAGACATTGCGGTACACAAGCCTCGATTTTCAATTGTTCTGTTTAAATTTATTTCGTTGTTCATTTTTATATTCACATTTATTGTTTATTAGCATATATATAATTAAATCACAGATTGTTGACATATATCCAACAAATGTAGAGTATAAAAGGCGGATATGAGTAAAACTTGTTTTTCGAAATGGTTCGGCTATGCTTTCCAAAGGGACAATGATTACCAAAAACAACTTGACATGTTGCAACAATCTCTTTACATTGCAAGCAAGATTTAAACTAGCACATGAACAACGATTCATATATTTGTATTTCTTGTTCAAGCAACAAGCATACATGACTAGAATTTCTAGTTATAAAAGGAAAAAAAATTTCTATATATTATGGTATCAGTACATTCCATGCATTATATTTCCATTTGTTAGCCCTTCATTAGATTTTAAATGTGTGAGACGCATTGACGGTGACTTTGGGAAATTGGCATCTCATTAAGAAATATTTCCGAAAAAAAGCTGCTTGCAGGTGTTTGTATTTTTATCTTCTTTTTGGTTTCAACTTTGTGTGCCTTTTAAGCTTCTTGTCCTTCCTATTTCTTGACTGTACAAGGAAGCGAAAAGGATGGTTCATTATCAAGCCGAGAATAAGAAACTTGAAGCAGAAAAGGAAACACCATCAAACTTGGGAAAAGGCAAGCAAATGTTCCAAATGAAAACATAAAATTTTATCGTGATGCAGTGTTTATAACCTGATAACATCTTGATAAAACTATATATTTTGGTAAAGCAATTCAAGTTTTTTTTTTTTTTTTTGAATAATCGATATTATCTACACTAATGAGAGGGGGTGGGCTTAGTTTCACAAGGGCTAGTAATGATGTGGTTCAAATTCGTCTTTGGTGAGAATCGAACTTAAGATCTCTCACTTACTAATGAAGATGAATATCACTGGACCGTAGTACTAAGTGGCAAACAATTCAAGTTATGTACTCATAAGTTAATATCTAAACATTTAATGCTATATTCTAAAGTATTAATTTATCGTACACTAACTCATATATTATGTAAATTAGTAACATCATATAACAATGTTATTTTTACAAACAAAACTTATTGATCATAAGAATAAACGAAGTCGAGTTATGACCATATATCGGTGTGGACTTGTGGAGGGCAATGCAGTAAACCATTATAGACACGAGACCGAGCATTACGAGACTATGTTAGAGTGTGTTGGGTAAGAATAATGTAGTGTCTTGCTCAAAATTTGGATTGCTTGTAACTAAAAATGTTGAGCAATTTTTTAGGTGTGACTAAAATAATCCAAAATATGATTCGAGCAATCCCACTTTGTAATTTGTCTAATTATAACAATTGAACTTGTCTGCCATATATTTTTACAATCTCCCTCGACTGGTATAAATACACATTTTTAAGGTTCATCTCTGACAACCAAATTGCTACCCATGTTGCAAGTTGCATGATCTGTTGGCTTTTGTCATTATTGTCCTGGGCAGTTTCTGTTCTATTTTCTCAGTTTTTTATTGGTTGAGTTGCTCCATTTGCCAACCGAAAGAACAAATTGCAGATTAAAATTCTATACAAGCCTAGGAGTTAGCTGCGCATTACAAATTGCAAAAAATTGTCATTGAAAGAAAATGAAATCGGGTATACAACATCCCAAAGATTTAGCTGCTGTTTCAAAAAAAAATTGTTTGAATCAATGCTTTCTCACGTTTTGATCATTCTTCTGTTGTATTTAGCTGCTGTTTAAAAAAAAAAAATTGTTTGAATCAATGCTTTCTCACGTTTTGATCATTCTTCTGTTGTATTTTTGGCATGCTAGTGCCTTACCTTTCTAGAATTATCAACATGAGCTATGTATTTGATATCCATTAGCATTGCTTTTGACTTTCTGCACTCACAAAACTTCATGCCTCACCAATAGTTTACGTACCTTCCTCATAAACTTATATCTAGTCCACGTCCAGGTTTTTCTCAAATTATTAGGCTTTCACTAAGGGTGCGTTTGTTACGTGGGACGGGACGGGACGGAACGGGACGAGGTGTTCCGTCCCACGTTTGGTACGCCAAAAATGGGTGGAACGCGCTGTTCCACGGGACAGAAATTTGGTGTTTTTGCGTCCCGCCTTCCCCCCTCCGGAACGGGTTGTTCCACGTATGTGGAACACAAAAATTCCACTGTCTACCCTCTCTGTCTCTCCCGCAGCCTCCCTCTCCCGTAGCTTCGTTACCCTCCCTCTCTCCTGTAGCCTCCTCCTCCTCCTCCTCTACCTCAAACCCAGCTGCATCTTCCTCGACCTCAACGCTCCCTCCACCACAGACTCACGTTCTGGGGAGTTCGCGACGGTTCATCTTCATCTTCGTCCCATCTTTTTTCTCTGCCACTGCCTTTTCCCGTAGCCTTCCCCTCATCCTCTCCCGTAGCAACTGCATCTCCAAGTTCGATCTCGATCTTCTCCCTTAACAGCTGCATCTCTAGGTTCGATCTCGATCTTCTTCAGGAGTCGCTGCATCTTCCAGGTTCGATCTTGATCTCTATAGATCTTTAATTTTGCTTTTTTTGATTGGGTTTTACCTTTTCGTTTTCTTGAATTTT